GGGTGGGGCATGAGGCGAGTTTCTAATCAAACATGCCATGTTAACATTTATTGCCTGCCTCTGAGATTTGAATATAAGCTCCTGGGTAGCAGATAATGTTTCTGTTTGTTCCTTGCCTACTACCCAACCACCATGATAAGTGTTCAATAAATAAGAATTACTGAACGAGCAATTGAACATATAAAAGATTAAAGAAAAGATGAAGGAAACTTTAGAGCATACAGAAGATGCTTCCAGGCTCTCTGAACAGAGTTGAGCCATCATTAGCTACATACTAAAAATTGTAGAAATTCTTCCATTATGAATTATTTTGAATTTGTTACTATTTCAAAGGAAAGTAATAGATTTAAAGATAATAATAAAAATATCTATGCCACACTTAACTTTAAGCCAGGCAGAGTTTTAAGGGCTTGACATAGATTAACCCACGTAATTCTCACAGTAATCTTATGAGGTGGGTATTATTATTATTTCCCTTTTCACAGGCAAGAAAACTGAGACACAGAGATGTTAATGAGTTGGCCAAGGTCACATATTAGTAAGTTCAAGAACCAGAATTCAAGCCAGGAAATCTGGTTCCAAATTTATGTTCCTAACCACTTAACTGCCTCTTACAATTCAACAGTCATAGCAGCCTGTTCTTAGCAATCACTGAGAGTTAAAGAGTATAGACCCCACTATCCCTGAATACATTAATATATGCTTCTGACCAAAAAAATACATTTACAATTCTACAGCTTTGGAGGCAGATAGAAAAAAAAAGTGGGATAATTTCATGATCAGCATAGTAAAATAAAAACTCATTGGAACTGAAGTCTTATTGAATACTAGAGAAGAGAAAATTGGACTGAAAAGAAGATAATTGCTTTAAGAAAAAAAGAAAAAGCCTATTTTTAAACAAATGATATGAGCTGTTCAGTATTCCCTCTAAAACAAGCAATGCATGATGTTTTATGATGAATGAGTTTACTGCTTAATGAAATTCTAAAATTACATTCTAAAAATATACTTTTGGTCTATGATTTGATAGCAATTTTAAATGTTTACGAGCTATGTATCTCAAAGATGTAAAAAATAACAAGAAAAA